CTATAGCGGTCGACGATTACGAGCACCGTAGTATAGACGCTATCTCCGCGCTTACTAGGAGGTAGGTCCGTAATAAAGTCTATACTAATTTCTTACTATACTCGATCCGGYATAGGYAATAGAACTATTACTCYRTAGGGGCGGTAGTRCCGCGCCTTRCTTACGAGGYAYATRTAGYACCCCTTAATRTACTCTACGAYATTAGTAGCTATACGTAGCTAGTAGTACTTCCGCTAAAGTAACTCGAGCGTCTTCGCCTTCCTRAAGTGTCCGGCGAGAGCGTTATCGTAGTATATRCGCATTAGTTACGCATATAAAGCGTAGTCTTTCGGAATATATAGGGYATCGCCGTAGAAYAATATTCTATCCTTAATAATRTAGCCTTCGTACTCGCCCTTCTCCCTAGCCGCGTCGCGTATGCTCGAAGCATYYRCGTCTACGTTTACTAGTGCTTTAGCGTAACCGAGTATTAGGTCTGGAATATTTCTAAGGGCTAAGTCTATAGCTACTAGGACGGCTATAACACGCCTAGGTAGCGAAAGCTCGCCGTATACTCTAGTAGGTAGTAATCCCTCGCACTTAATCGCGTAGTACATAGCTCTTACTCTTCTAATAAAGGGCTCTATCTCGCTTCGAAGAGCTTTATTAGATTACTAGTTCTAAAGTTTGCTTTATAGTATAGGTAATAGCATGCTTATATGCTAAGACGACTCCGTCGTACTCGTTTCGTAGTCGCTACGTCTACTCGGACTATCCGTAGGGTTCTTTATCCCTACGCGATGTTCGATAGTAAAGTCGAAGGGCGCTAATTAAACCGCCTATCGTGCCTATCGACCGACTAACTGTTTTATCGTTATAAAAGCTTTAAGGTTAGTATAGTCGACGATTACTTAAATCGTATACGTAGCGCTATCGAGGTACGGGCGCTACTACTTAAACGTACTTACTACTATAAGTAGCTCTTTGTCGTAGGTCTCGTAATTGCATTCGGCCGGGATTATCTTCCGTAACTAAAAAGTAATAGGATGCTACTATTTGTCCTTAAACTGCTATAAGAGGATGCCCGTAAGCGCGAAGTCCGATATGTCGGTTTCGACTCGTAGGCGAAGCGTAGGGTTATAGTGCCTTAGTAGTAGGGCTAACTAAAAGGCTGCCTTAAGCTAGCTTAGCGCATTCTCTTCGCTAGCGCCCTAAGGGATCTTCCCTAGCTTCCTGCCTTTAATAGCTCCCTTCGACAGGTCGGTTAAGGGCCTTATAATGCGTAAGTACTACTAAATAAACCGCCTATAGAAGTTAGTAAATCTAAGGAGTGCTTACACATCCTTAAGGGTTTCTAGCCGAGGCTACTCGGCGACTACGTCTACCCTACGTAGGTCTATCGTAACGCCTTGCGTAGTAACTACGAAGCCGAGAAAATCGACTAAATCTTAGAAGAAACTACACTTCTTAAAGTTGTAGTAAAGTTGGAACTTCCTTAGCCTATCGAGTACGGCGTATACGTTACGCTAGTATTACGCTCGGTCTTTGCTATAGATAAGAATGTTATCTAAGTAAACGACGYARATTACATCGACTAGCCCCGATAAGGCTCGGTTAATGTATCCTTAAAAAGTCGCTAGTACGTTRTATAGTCTAAAAGGYATAACCTTATATTAGAAGTGTCCGTAACGCGTACGAAACGCAGTCTTCTAGCGATCGCTAGCCTTAATCTTAATGCGATAATACGYAGCCGAGAGGTCTAAGCTAGTAAAGAATACGTTGCCCCTAAGTCGATTAAGCGTCTCGCTAATTAAGGGAAGTAGATAGCGGTTCTTAATCGTGATTTCGTTTAAGCCGCGATAGTCTATATATAAGCGTAGTAAGCTATCC